ACGTATGATTCACTTACAACGTCGATGCATTACATCATTTCATTTCTGTGCCATGCTGGGAGTTCTCGAGGTGTCCCGTTGTTTGACGTGACTGCAAATTCCATTGGGCAGTGATCAGCAGTGGGATAATGGAATGTGATTTGCAGTGGGGTCACTGGAGGGATTTTTTTTTTCCTACAATGCCGAGGCCCCCTCCAATCGATGGAAGTGAGACCCTTATATCAGTGTGCTGGAAAGTGCAAAATGAAATACAGCACAGGTCCTGTCTTATCAGCAAAACCGGCAGCTGCGGGTGCCTCCATACCTGAGAGCAGAGGTCGCAACCGAGTACCTGATACCCGTACCCTACCCGATACCCGGCTACCCGTACCCGGCCGGGTACGGGTACCCGTTTGCGACCCTGGTGCGGCCGGGTACGGGTAGGCCGTGAGTCACTGGTGAGTCACCGTTTGTCACTCATTTCCCAACGTCTTGTCTCTTCTCACAATTCAAGTTCCTCGAATCAACCCACCCGCGCCTGCAACACGGCTTCATCCCAGAGGTCGCAATCAGGTACCCGATACCTACCCGATACCCGGCCGGGTACGGGTAGGGTACGGGTACGGCCGGGTACGGGTACCCGTTTGCGACCCTGGTGCGGCCGGGTACGGGTAAGGAATCAAAACCCGTTTGCGACCTCTGCCTGAGAGTGGCCTTTAATTTTCTAGCTGTAAAGGGACCGGGCTGTACTGACCAACGTGGTGAAGCATGGCCAAACAACCCTCCTGTCTCCTGTCTAACAGAGCATGGGGAGGCCTTCATACAGTCGTGGTTTTATAAAGGTTAATGCATTTTTATTATTATAAAAAGATCATGGCAAATGTAAATAATGGTAGTGCCTCTTGTGGCTGCAGGGGATATGTGAACCCATTACATGCAATATATGCGTTTTCCTCTATTAAGTATCATCACCACTACGGTGCAGCCCAGCCAACATAAAAGCCAAATCTCAGTTTCGAAATCCGACCGTCACATATCCGCCCGAACCAAACGACGACCATTGCAGTAAGTGTGCAAGGTGTAACTGTACTTTTCTACAGATGTTCACAAATCCAACATTTTCACACATCTCGGTTCCCCAGTGAGTTTGATGTAGACGTACTCTGCTATGAAAGTCTCACTCAAAAGAGGTTGAGACAAAATGTTCAACGTTGGCAGCTAAGAGACTGTTAGCTAATCAAGTGGGTTTCCCAACTGGCATTATGGGACAAGGCCAGAGGGAGATGTGGCTGTTGCCTGGAGATCTATGCCATAATCCATCGTGTGATGTTATCACACATTAGCTATGAACTCCTATGGCCGAGCAGCTTCTCTGAGAGATTACGTTGGATTATCAAATAGGTTTAAAACATGTCAAAGTGCGATGTGGTTTTTCTTTTATCTGCCACAATCCCACATCTGCACACACGAGGCCAGAAGCAATTTATCAGGAGGCCAATTCTTGTGGCCTCAGTCAGGCAAAGTCAACGAGTGTAATTGTAAAAAACTTATTTCACTTGCATGGAATATTCCTTCACATATTGAGGGCAGGGTGTTGGAATCTTCACCGCGAATCCTGACAACCGAGGGGAAGACCTAACACGAGATGGTGCGATACTGCACAGATGTTTCTGTTATGATGGGTTTTCTCCTCATTTACAGATTTCATTGGTTAGATACCAGAGGTCGCAAACGGGTTTTGATTCCCTACCCGTACCCTACCTGAAATGAGTGACAAACGGTTACTCACCAGTGACTCACGGCCTACCCGTACCCGTACCCGGCCGCACCAGGGTCGCAAATGGCTACCCGTACCCGTACCCAGCCGGGTACGGGTAGCCGGGTATCGGGTACCCGGTTGCGACCTCTGTGAGATACTCTTCAGGAAGATTTTGGAGATTGGAGGTGTCTACTGTGCAGCAGCTGCAAGATCTGGCAGAAGATAGAACCCGCTGGCAAGGTGTGGTGACATCAACGGCTTTGGCCACGATGCCCTCTTGTCCTGAGCATTAAGTTGTGATTGGTGGCCTGTGTGCTGCATATCTCTGCCCCCAGAGCAGTTCATGCAGCATGTGTTGGTGCTAAATCATAAGTCAGACTTAAGTTATAGTCATTACCTTAGGTAGAAATGATCCCTTGTTAATTCCTTCCAACGAAGATTAAAAGTGTTCATGAATTCCCTCTCTCCATCCATCTGGGGTGAGGGGGGTGTGCTTCCAATATGACGGAAACTTCAGTATTAAGAAGTTCAACATACATATATTAAGTTGTGTTGCGATTAGGGACTTGCCCTATAGCAATGGGCAAATTAATCAAAGGGCTGCACAGAACTTGGAGACAAACCATAGCAAATAGGACCTATACAAACACATTTACCCTGACAACTACCCACCGACTTCCGTACAAATTAAATCCTTGCAAGCACATGTTGGAAATCGTTACGTAATCCTGTACATGCATTTCGATTTAAAGCTTTCGTGACTGCAGGGATTCATCTTCTTGGTTTTTTCGGTAAAGTCACGTAGAAGGGAAGTAATAAAATAATAAAAATAAAACATAATAAAATAATATAATAAAATAAATAAAATATTTTTTATTTGTGTTTTATTTTTATTATTTTATTACTTCCCTTCTACGCGACTTTACGGAAAAAAACAAGAAGACTGTACATGCATTTGCATTATTTTTACCAACGAGTTAATTTAGTTTTTAATATGGGCCTGCATTGGGGCTCGACGTGGCACAGCCAGCTCCTTGTTTACTGCAGAATGTGCATGGCAGGGAATTAAGGGAGGGAGAGGCAACTGTGAGGGTAACGGAATGTTTTCTAGCGTTAAGCTTCAATGATAAACACAACGATGCTTGAGTGGAAACAAAAAAAATCCCATTTTGATAATCGACTGTCGAAATATACTGTATACAAGTGATGTTGTTAGCTTCGAGGCTGATGTTATATTTCTCGTTAGTGCTCTACCAGTTATCTTCTAGGGTTAGGCTACGAGCAATAACACGTTGTAATGAATAAGTTCATGAAAATATGCATTCATATCATAAACCTCCTAGGTAGCTCAGGACATATTTGGGAGATCAGCAACGAGAAAGAACAACCAGTGTTCTCGGCACTTCACTGGGTGATGTAACCATCGAGTGTGCAGGCGGTGCAACTGCTCACGGGTCGGATGAGACCAGTCGCTGAGGCAGGCGGTGGGGGCAGGGGGTGACATTTCGTGTTTTGCCCCCTTGCTTGCTGCTCATTTTTCAGACCCCCAGCACCTTGCTCCAGTCACCTTTTGATCAATTTGTCCGGTTTTCAATCGGGTACGTTCCTAACAGCAGCACTACTTCATAGGAGGGTTTCGTTCACATTGGATAACCTTTACGCGAGTTATCCTGCCCCCACGTTACAGACGGACGGAGCTAATGCATTACAGCTTTTTTTTTTCTTCCTGGAAAGTGTTGATTAAAAAAACACCCCGAGGCGTTTTACTGCCGATGACTTCAAGCATCCGAGTGCCGTCTCAAACGTGTTATGAAACACAACACATGTTAAACAATAATACAAACTTCAAACTACTATTTAAAAACACGGTGTATCCTACAACCTGCTCCGCTTGCTGCCAATGCAGAAGTTGAATGCAACTACACATACAGAAATACATTTCACGTGATCATAATTTCCTGATCGGTGTTAATAGATAGCGCGCTGGACTTTCAATTCAGAGATCGCCGGTTCAATACGATTTCTCGGCGCGGCAGTTGAATGAATACTGCAAAGTGGCTTAAATACCCCACCCCGCCTCTATAAAACACTCCCCACTTCTGCGAAGACGTGTGACCGGCATGGAAGAGTAGACCAAACACCCTCAAGAACCGGGCTCCCGACAGATGCCCCTCTAGTGGAGGCCCATCCGACAGCAGTCGCGTAAGTACTACGACTACTACGACTACTTTTTTATTTATTTTATTTTACCAGGTAAGGCCCACTGAGCAACACAGCTCTTTTTTCAGAAGCGACCTGGCCACAAATGATTGCTCAACGAAGTGGCTCATCGCGTGGAAATTAAAATCAGCCAAATACTCCTAAAAGCGTGTTTCTAAATGTGGAAGGTAAAACCGGTTGGACCCGGGGAAAAGTCCACGCGACCACGGGGAGAACATGCAAACTCGAAATATACAAGCGTCAGGGTCGAAAGTAATAGCAGGGCTGCGTATTTATCTTTGATTTACCTTTATTCAAATGTTATTAACGACAACTTAAAACAATGCTGGATAGCCCAATGCAAGGAGGCGAATGCAACCGAAACATACACTCATCGATGTTTTATTTTTCGATTTAAAGCTTTCGTGACTGCAGGGATTCATCTTCTTGGTTCTTTCGGTAAAGTCACGTAGAAGGGAAGTAATCAAATAATAAAAATAAAACATAATGAAATAATTCTCACGATGTTTCGGCCACAACGCAAGCAGCCGTCCTCAGGTGAAGACACACACAATTGCCCAGCCATCCATTTCTTCACCTGAGAACGGCTGCTTGCGTTGTGGCCGAAACGTCGTGAGAATTATTTTATTATGTTTTATTTTTATTATTTTATTACTTCCCTTCTACGTGACTTTACCGAAAGAACCAAGAAGATCATCGATGTTTGTACATGGAATCGCAACACCGATTCGTGATAATTGATCGAATCTTGGTTGATCGAATCTTGGGTGGGCGAATCTTTGCATGCGTTCTCGTCATCATCATCATTATTCGCCACGATGACCTTATCCACTGCTGGATGAAGCCCAACTCTCACGGTCCCGCGGATGTAACAACCCCGTGCATCACCTGCACACGAACTCATTCAATCGCCCCGACTGTGCTCCCTCCTTCGGCTGTCACTCTGTCGTTAGTCTCGACCACTGGGCTATACACACACACACACAATTGCCCAGCCATCCATACTCGTTGCTTAACTTTGCTGTGCCACGCGTCCTCGATAAGCGGCCAGCACACTCGTTAGCCGCAGTGCTTATTTCTGTATAAATGACGTTGGCGGGGCAGCTCCTGGCTTCGTCACGTATTCCCATCGCTCGGGCTACACGTCAACTCTGTTTACCGGCTGGCGGGAGCACATCGGACAGCCGCGACTCAGTCTGCGCTCTGTCCCTTCCCGAGCTCAAGCTGCCGCGGAGCGGTGGAAGGTAACGTTCAATCGAACTCGTGTGCGCACGTGCAACACCGCCACTGGGGAGAGACGTCCCGATCGACGGTTCGAGACGACACCCCCAGTGCGCACAGGCACGGGCTGTTGCTGCTGCTGCGTGAAGTCATAGGTGCTCGCTAACAGCGCCTGGCTCGGCGGTGCGTTGTTGTCTTTCAGGAGGGGGTGCAAATCTTTGTGTTTGTGGCAGTAAACGAGAACAAAAGTGATGCATTTAACACGGTTATCAGCTGCTCGGTCCTCGGCTTAATTGAGCGGCTACACGTGCTCTGGGTGTAAGGAGTTATTATTGGTTGACAACACGTGCTGCTGCTGTTGTTGTTGGCAGTGTGAGTTGCGCACGCGTGTTGTACGTGCTCAGACCTTTGTCAATCCACTGCTGGATGATGAGGGGGGTGGGGGCTGCTTCCCCACCATGCCGTATTTGTCGTGGGATGGGAGGGGATGGTTCGGTTCGGTCATACTTCACCACGCTGGTCAATGTGGGTTGGTGAAGCCGGCTACTGTATCGTGTTTATATAATCTCACTGTGTGGCTTTAATGGGTTTTTTTTGCGTGAGTACAAAGGTGCAGCCCTGCAATTGCTAGTTAACGCAACCGCTGGTAGTTCACGCAAGCGCTGGTAATCCGCGAGTCCACGACAGGGAGTCTGCGGAAAAGACAAATAATAACATCCCTCATGAAGGAAATGTACGATTTCAAACAGCGAGTTTAGTCTGCGAGTTGAAACACTTGAAGAAGAAACATTTTGGAGCCGCTGCTCCAGAGGGTAATTGTGGTGCCGTGTTCAGGATACACGAAATGTTCTATGGGCTGTCCACTTTTACGTTGTTTGATGGTGGATTTGTTTTGGTTAGTGGGCGTATTTGTGTTGTTGAAAATACTGTCGGCTGTGCCTGACAAACATCTGACTGAAGCAGTCAGTGCAGATTAGGGCTACTCATGTCAGAGGTAGGGCTATTTCATAATGCATCTTCATATTACGTCTGCTACCGTTGTATTTTCCTGCCTATTATATTTTTTCTGAAGATTTTCTTACGTTCTTTTATTTTCTTATTGCTGCCTATGACTAAATCACTAGGAATGCGCTCGATCCTGTCAGATCTCGGAAGCTCAGCAAGTTGGCGCCGGGATAGTTATTTAGTAGTAACATGCAACCACGAATAAACAGGTGTTGTAGGCTGCGATTCTACGTGGTGGGCAGTAGAGGGCGGTGCAATAAAATAATTGCATGCACCTATGCTCCCAGTTGTAAACCAACCCGGCCTTACCAGCTTGAAGTATGGTCAAATAAACCACCGAGTAGTGCGGAGGCCCTCTTCCAGAAGTGGATTGACAGAGGGCTGTTCATTTTTATTAATTTAGTATTAGTTTCTAGCGTCATTTACTTTTAAGTCTTTTGATTTGATTGCCTATTTCTTGGAAAATGTCGTGACCAGACAGATCAGTTTCAGTACTGATACAGCATTGCCATCTTCCATCAAAGTACTGACCAGGCTGAGATCTGCTGAGCTGAGATCTATATCAGCACTGAAGCTGACATACCTGGAAAGTAGCCATTCAGTAATATGACTCGCGTTTTTTTTTATACAAAAACCACGTGACCACGTTTTGTATTGCATGTTCACTGGCGATGCCAAAATCATTTTGAACGTGCCCAACTTCAGCAGATTTCAGACGCTGAACAAGATTGAGCCTGGTTAGTACTTGGATGAGAGACTACCTTGTTTAGCTTGGTTAGTACTTGGATGAGAGACTGCCTGGTGTACCAGGCGTTGCAGGCCAGGGCTGCAAGGCGGCCAGGAGATGGCAATACACCAGTGGGTCATTGCGTCTATCTTTGCAGAGCTTTTCGTGTTACCCCCCCCCCCCCCCGTCATATGTGTGGTGGGTTTTCTCTTATTTATTCCAACATATTAAACCAAACAAGTCAATAATGGAATCGGCCAGATATCCCAAAGTAACAGCACCCTACTGAAAAAGAGTCTTGAGACTCTGTGAGGCTTTTCTAGCCAAATAAAGGGCCATTACATGCCTCTGGTTAATTCTCTCGAAGGGTTGATAGGCGGTGGGCAAAAATAACTACTGGGTGGCAGCCAATGAAACGAAAGTGCCTTCGGTGCATCCACCGTAGAGATGGAGCATTGGGTTTGGCTTGCGTGCGGGTGGTGGGTGGGTGATGCATTGTGGGACCCTGAAGCATGGCAGTCATTTTGGTGAGGCCTTCGTTCAGGAGTGGATTGATCATGGCTGATACATGTTGGTATGAATATTGACATAGTTCTGCTGTATGTTGAACTTCTTTCGCACCGTACGTAACCAACGGCGCTAATCGGAGGTGCAAGGAAAGGACAACAAACTAAACACAAAAAGCAGTTTCAAAAAATACTTTTCAATGTAGATTTTAAAGTGGCTTGTTTTTGAATTGCTCCTTGAAGTACCATTGCCTTTCACGTGGTTTTGTGCCTCTGTTTAATTTGCATCTCTTTATTCATATTAACGTGCACTCTTCCATTCATCCCAAGTTCCACCTGTTCTGCCACCAGTGCTTACACTCATTGTCCCATCAGGACATTGATCTATGTACAAAAAAGATCACTATAATGCATATGCTCCATTTGTACACCCGTCATTGTGCCCTCTATTAAAAGAATACCACCTCTCGTTCAGTTTTGTCATCATCATCATCATCACACAATCAAAAGCCATGATCAGTCCACTGCTGGATGAAGGCCTCCCCAAGTCTTTGCTTTCTCTAACAATCTCAATAACCAGCAAACAGCATCGTTATTAAAATAATGCAGACCTAAATACCAAGTGTCACCAAGGTGCTGGTCTGGTTATTGAGATTTTGTTTCTGTTCCATATATTGTGGGGGTTTTGTTTTCTTTCCAGTTTTCACTTTCAACTTAACATAGAAGCCTCCTTACTCCTTACACAGTGCATGTTATTGTTGGAAAGGGTATATGGATGATGACTATTGTATTCATTAATTATGGCTTTAATTGCCTTTTGCAGTGACCCAAAATTACCCTCACACGTGTGCCTTGCTTACACTGTGTTCTTAGAAATCCCACTACACTATGCAGTAAATTTCAGACGAGTTGACTCAAAGATGTACCGTCTATAAAGCCATTAAGAGTTTGAAGTTACATATGTTGGGGTAGTTAATGAGTGGGTAAATAAATGGTAAATTATGCCAACTAACTTACATTCGTTTATTTTGTTACCTGTTGAGTAAGTTCTAAGCGAGGGGCGTTTTAATACATCATCTTCAGCCAGGATAGATTCACTGCTGGTCGAAGGTCTCCACAAGCCATCTCCGATTAGCACGGTTGGCTGCGTACAGTGCGAAAGAAGTTCAACACACACACATATTCATGCAATGTAACAAGTCACATGTTGTACCACCTACACATGAGCTGATTTCATCCGTTAATCTCCTCATTGAAAATCCTCTCAAGAGATATTCCATTTCTTGGCTGATGTGTCCTGCCTGAACAAACTTACTTTTCTTAACCCGTTTCAATGATGCATTTAACCCCCATATACTGTATTCTCTGATCCAATTGTTTATCTTTCTGTGCTTCAATTTAATTACGTATTTTAACATATGCGCACTATTGAGTACATGTAATAAACACATGTTCATGCACTGTAAACTGCTGAAATCACAGACGTGTTAATCATGTTACATTTGCTGATGATGTGTGGCGATGCAGTGCCAACTCAGTGGCTAGTGTGCTACGCAATGAGCCAAGCAACCTGATGTTGAATCTCGGCCTTGGCTAATTTGCCTGGCGAGTGACGTCTGAGCCAATCCTGGACACCCGACTTCACCAACACACATTGACCAACGTGGTGAAGTATGTTTAAAGAATACCCCGTGACTGTTGTATAGCATGGGGAGGCCTTCATCCAGCAGTGGATTGATAACGGCCCACAATATTATCATTCATGAGGGTGAAATGGTGTGTGCTGATGCACGGTAAACAAACATGGCATTAATACTGTGGCCACTGCCGGGAAAACAAATCCTTTTCCATGAATTCTTATTTTAGAATAGGCACGAGACTCAACATCTCATGGCATTTGTAATTGATGAGCATATAGGATAGCCCGCAATAACCCAAGCAGTTTGCCACAACCTCTGTCTATATTTAGGTTGTTTGTGGCCTGTGTTCCCAGCGTTAGAGGTTTGTGTTACTGTTTGCGTGTGACTTGAATTTCTGACTTGCTGCTCTAAGAATGTGCACGTGGTTAAAATGTAGCTGACTCTTGGCCTCATTCTTCACGTAGAAGTGTCAACATTGCATGTGGCATCTGCTGATGCCTCTTAGAGTAGACATTAATACTTTAAACTATTTTCTTATTTTACCAGGTAAGGCCCACTCGGCTATTAGATCCTTTTCAGAAGCGACCTGGCCACAAACAAAAGCTCAACGAAGTGGCTTATCATGTGGAAATGTTTTTATATCAGCCAAATAATCTAAACGCACGTTTCTAAATGTGGAGGGGAAAACCTGTGAGGACCCGGAGAAAAATCCATGCGACCACGGGGAGAAAGAGAGAACATGCAAACTCTAAATACACAGGCATCGTCAGGGTTGGGATTGAAACCCATGACCTCCTGCATACCAGGCGAGGGAGATAACATCTCGCCACAAGGGCACCCCATATTAACCCAGCGAGCCGAGTTCAATAATCGTGGCAAATATCGGAATCGATTCTGAGCCTCCCCTCGAGGTTAACCTCAAAACAGTACTAGGTGCGGTGTGTAAACATCACCACTGGGGAGACAAAGGCGGCCAGGCGCGGTGCAGGCCACCCACCCCCTCGTGTGTCATGCTGGTCTTCATAGGTGCTCGCTTACAGCACTTGCCGCAATCGTCTTTAAGGGGGGATCTTTGTCTTTGTGCCGACCAGGGGTGCAACATTTGTGGCTGTTTCTTATATATAAAATAAAGAAAGATATCTAAACATAGTAGGGAGTGTCTGGACACCTACAAATGCATATTGGCTACGCACCCCGGTTCACCAGTGCAGTGCGCTAACCGCCGAGCCACCACTCCCCAATGTCATTATCCACACTGTACTCTATTGTGCTCCTTGCATTGTGACTTTGTGTGATTTCCAGTTCTGCAGCAGTCATGTTGAAGATTAACAGCCGCTTGCTGCAGGCGCAGCTGGCGAGCACACCTGTTTGTCACAAGGAGAGTGAAGATGTTCAACAGGAACGGAAAGCCCTGCAACAACTAGCCACAAATCTTCGGTACAAAAACAAATCTCGGCAGCTACTTTTTTAAATCCTTTATATTAAGTTCGCTTGCTTGCGTGCTTGCGTGCTTGCTTGCTTGCTTACGACCGTGCAAATCTTTCGGTCGTTTTTTAACCCACTTCCCGTGATCCAATCGAGCTGACATTTTGCACATAGACTCGTTGTGCGAGACAATTAATTTTAGTGAAATTTTTTTTCCAAAATTTTACACTGTTTAGGGAAAACAAATTAAATATTTAATTACCAATTGCTTAATACTGGCAGACAATCATCTGACCCATAGGTGGCAGCCATCTCAAGCCAGAGGACGAGAGGACTCTAGCCGCCACGCATATAAAGGATTTAGAGTGAAAAACTTTGTTTTTACGGGTTATACTTGTTTTCTTCCTTATGTTATATTTGTTTGGTAATTTCCTCCCCCCCCCCGCCGCCCAACTTTATCCCAATTGTGCCTTCGGCGGCATGCCTTGAGACGAGGCATCAATTGAGGCCTCGCGCAGAACAGCGCAGCCTCTTGGCGTTAGACGACGACCCACAGAAGTGGATATCAACAGAGCTGGCTCTGAAATGCCTTCAAGCAAGGATGTAATTATATTATATTTTGGGGGGGACACATTCCCCCCCTCCATATTCAAATATGCTCAAAATGCCCCCCCCCCCCCCAATATATTGCTTTAAAAAAATTTGCTATGCTATATAAATGAAAACAACAATTTGCTAAACCTTGGCCACAATATCTGGCCTTCATATAAATCAATGCATAGATTTCTGTTTATATGGTTGTGGTTGGACTTTATTAATGCCTAATCTCTGCCATTACATACAATGAAACAAGAAATTGTAAAAAAAGTAAAAACAGAGCAATGTAATACAATACACTATTAGACATTATTGTAAAAAAATAATAAAAAGTCCATCCCATGTGTTAGTGAATTTTTAAAATATTTTAGGCAGGAAATCAGTTTTAAAATTTAGATATTTTTCTTGGTTGAGACCCCCAGACACCCTGGAAGATTTGGTCCCCCCCAATGTTGACTCCATGGCCACGGCCTTGCCTTCAAGTGACCTCTGATCAGCACAATAGAGGGCAGCATTCTCCTACCCACTCTGCACATGAGAGTAATGTTTGCCACGTAACAAACCGATATTTGAAATATCAAAACCGGAATTTAGCCAAATTCAACACGATTGTGTGTGTTTTTTGTGTGCAGTCATTCGTGACCGGGCTGAGACCAGCTGCTCGTTTTTTGTTTTTAATTCAAATTCATGTGCAAGGCTTCGGTGGCCCCGATGCCGTAATTGTGAGCATCTCAACACGTGTGGCGTTTCTTTTTCTCCCAACTAGGAATGTTTGCAAGATGACAAACGACAGCATTTTCTGTGGTCTGCGAATCCCTGACCGGTTTCAAAAAGTAAAGCAAGAAATCAGTTTGGTTGTCCTCACAGGTCAGTCTGAGGGCAACGGCGACCGTGTTTCTCCAGATTGTTTTCATCGGTTGCACCTCGGATCGCTCGGCGCTAATGTCCAACGTTTCGTGATGCGAGCTTCTCCAACGACTGAATTGAGAGCTGTACAGTAGAACCGCGGAAACCTACGCAGGACAAATCATTTGGTGATGCTCTTTTAGGCAGTGGTGCACAAGCACAGTCATGTAGGTGTGTGTGTATGTGTGTGTATGTTGAACTTCCTTCACACCGTGCGTAGCCACCCGTGCTAATTAACAAGGAAACTCACCACATTCCTTGATAGCACTGCCTTGAAAGGAAAAAAATATTGTAGGCCACGTATTGGGCAATGGCTCTTCGTAGCACAGAAACATTGCCCAAAACATCACCTGTTACACATTGTTCTTTTTAAGGCCATCGTGTTATAGATGAATGCTGTGTATATGTATTTATTTATTTCTTCCCGGTATGTCATATCTTCTCTGCGTCGTTTCCCGCATCGCAATAATAGTTTGCAGGGCTTCGTCCGATCGCGGATGTGTGTGTGCACATTTTTCTCTCTTTAATGAACAAGCCAGCGCTCGCTGCCCTATGTGGCTTTCGGCATCGTCGCGTAATCAACGGCCCTGCCGTCTCTTGCCAGGAAAGGGAGTCTTTTGTATTGACGTGAAGAATTGGGTGGGAGAGGTGAGCCGAGATGGCAAGCACTGGCTTGTTAAGCACAAGGGGGAGGTGGCTGGGGAATTCTCAAGAAGTGTCCAGCACCCAGACCCCCTGCTCGACATTAAGGTAAACATTTCACTTGTGCTTGTGACCCTCGTACGTCTGTGTACATATATTAAGCCGGCCACTGATGGTAGTTTGCATAAAAAAATACATACGCCATTCGTATAAGGTTACAGAAATCGTTTTTGTCAGCTCCAACCTTTTCATCGTCGTTATTTTCAGCTAAGCCTCACGGATTGTGATTATTACTGGCTCGAAGAATTCTAAGCACCGCATAATGCAGTGGACATATGGGCGCAACTTTTTCAGCGATTCTAAGCCAAACGTCCCGTTGCCGCATGCAGTTAGTGACTAGGATTTTCGTTCTCCATGTGCTTCTTCTTCTGTACTGCGACTCTTTTCCTGTCACAGCTACCGTGCTCATACCTCGCTCCACCACGTCCTTACATCTCACCTTCAAATTTCGATTTAAAGCTTTCGTGACTGCAGGGATTCATCTTCTTGGTTCTTTTGGTAAAGTCACGTAGAAGGGAAGTAATAAAATAATAAAAATAAAACATAATAAAATAATTCTCACGACGTTTCGGCCACAACGCAAGCAGCCGTCCTCAGGTGAAAAGCAGGTCTGTCACCTGAGGACGGCTGCTTGCGTTGTGGCCGAAACGTCGTGATAATTATTATTATTATTTTTTTTAATTATTTTATCTCACCTTCAGTCGCACGCCACTCCTTCTGCCCTCCGCTGCTGTCAACTCCACAGCCAGTCTCATCGTGTCTATTTGTCCATATTTGCACAACACAATCACCAAATATTGCCTTCTTGAAATTGCAAAAAAAAATTATAATCCAGAGTTTGCACTTTGTGAATGCCTTTCGTTATTGTTTCCTATTTTCTGGGTCCCGTAATTACGCATTACTTTATTTCCTTCATGGATAAAAATAGGATTTCTGCGTTCGTAGGAAGTGCTTTTCTTCGTGCAGTGATACCAATTGAGATCTTATCAGGATGATGAGAGTTTGATTTAAGTGAAATTAGACCGATGAGGACCTGCATTCAGTGCCTTGGAGATAAAGTCAAACATTTTGGTGACTGTCGAAAGACAATCTGACATCAAATATTTCCCTGATTAGGGGTCATTTCGAAATTTTCGCATTTCTGGAGGTTTGGTTACACTCGATAAATAAGAGCCTTTTAAGCACGATAATGACCGTGGACTTCATATTTTTTAATAACCCCCTCATATTTTACAATAACTGAAAGATGCACATAGTTTGTACAGTTATGGATCCATTAAGTTTAGGAATGTGAAATAGATCTTGGAAATAATTTTGAGGCAGCATGAAGATAGCATATTAATGCTGAAGGCATCATTCACTCAAAGTGTGCATTTACCGTGCATCCTGTAGTTTATTTCTTATCGGCGTACTCCAATTACGGCAAGCAAGGACAGAGGGATCTCTCTTCTGTCTCCAAACTTGATATTAAGTGGAGAAAGACAGCTGTGGCTTGCAGGGTAGAGAGATGAAGGCTCTGATTACGGACCGAAAAACATGGTTATAAAGGGACGTATTTGTAATAGTGTGAACAAAGGGTGGAAAATGTCCCAGCTTTTCTTCGGCGGCCCACTACACGTACAATGGGATACAAGGACCTTTCCGTTTTTCAATTACGTTTAAACAGAAAATGAAGATGCGCTGTGAATTACCTCTGTTCAACTTGAGAGTGTGGCGGCAGAAATAATAATATAATGCCTATGGTGCTTTGTGTCAAGGGCCTTTATTTGTGCACTGCATGAATACAATTATACCGGGACGATTCAGAGTTCATACCCCGTCTACTACGACAGGCATATTTGTTAATGTTTCAGATACTCTATTCAAGTTGTATTGTTGGGAAAAAAATGTATACATTTTAAAAAGAAATGCCGCGGCATGTTACATGGTTAATTGTTGCTTCGATTTTCTTCATATCCTCAAATGTAATGGACAATAATGCTGAATGGTAATCAGCCACGGATGATTGGTTCTTTTGCAGTGGTTTAAAAGGGCATCTGAATTTTCATTCGTCTGCAGTAAAACAATTAAGTTGTGTTTTAAAAATGTACCATTAAAGTAATACTGTTTGTTTATAATCATTAAAGTAATAATAGTAATATTCAGCCTTGTATCTGTTATGGGGGATGAAGGCCCCTCCACGCTGTGTTAAACATGGGGGTTGTTTGACTGTATTTCATCATGCTGATCAGTGCTGGTTGGTAAACGTGGAGTCGTGGACTGATTCAGGTATCGTTCGTCATTAGTGTCTGTCGTGGCAGGGAATCGAACTCGGGATGCCGGGTTCAGAGCTAACCACTGCGTCACTGCCTCCCCCAATGTCACATTGAATCAAAAACAGTTACCTGCGAGTAGACTTTATACAGCACCGTTTCTTTGTCGGTAATGGTTTAAGTCACCCATAGTTGCAGCCCATCTGCTGTACTTTCCGTGAAAAAAAATATAGCATTAGCTTTGTGCTTCGTCTATGTGCACACGTAATGTCCTATTGGCATGGAGGGATGGATTATTGGAATTGCTCATGGAGACAGAAAAAAAGGAACACATGTTCTCGAGAACATGGGTAAGTTCGAGACAGATCTCATTTTGACTGATAAGGAATGAAAGTGGACGATGGCGGGACACGTAACTCGACGGGATGATTGTCGATGGTCCAGAATAACAACATAATGGCAGCCAAGAGGAAATGCTCACACTCGCCGTGAAGATGGAGTGACAATTTCAACTACTCGCATGCAGGGGTGACTTTGATTTTGAAATGACAGGACTGTGGAAGATGGCGACGGCTTAAAGCGTACCTCTTGTCTCATGCTCCATCTCTTCCTCTTCCCTCCCCTCGCCCCTCCTCTCCTTCCCATCCCTCCCCGACCCTTTCGTGATCACCAAGTACCCCCTATCGTGGGTTCTCATTCATCAATCCTTGCACGCCCCTGCCATCTAAATCATTCTATTATGTCATCGTTTTTCAACCTACGTCAAGCGTCTTGAGTGAAGGCGCTCTATAAGTATAACATTAGATTAGAGTGGTCTTCATCCAGCAGCGGACTGATCATCGCTGATGATGAAGATGGTGATTTAATGTTCACGCTAAAAAAGTACGGCAGTCGAATATTATCTAATCCCACGGACCACGTGCTGTTGAGTGTTGAAGAGTAAGTCTATATTTGGAAAACACACGGTCACTCTGTAGCTCTCAGCACGTGGAATGGAATATCCGATACCATCCCGAACAACACACGGTACATGACGGAAACACATTGGAGAGCTACACGGCCCAACTGTAAACACCTACTCGGAGTTGCATTGGGAGTATCCCACGCAAACAACTACGGTCGGGTTGTAACGAGTCCTGTGATGTACTGTAACGGGCCTTCGTTTTGTTTCAATACAAATTTAAATACGAAAGGGAAGACAATATATATCCATACATCTGTCTCTACACGTAAAATTAATGAATGTATTTTTTACGCTTCCCGTCAACCGCAAGGCCTTCTGGGAGTGCACAGTTTCAGCAGCCTTGGTTCAATGAAATCAAACGCTGAACGAGTTTTGTCTCATCAGCAGTCAGGATTTCTTGAATAAATGCTGGTGTTGTTATAGGCAAAGATGCACTCTTTAAGATAAGTGTGCCAGTTCGACACAAAATTATATCATACGTTACACAAAATAATGATTTGCGTTATGTAATAGTACGGTCATTTTTTTTTTGTTTTTCAGAAAAAAATAGAAAATCTTTGGAATTTCCTTGTCGAGAAAGGCGTGGGCATCAAGAAGAAGCAGATGCATCATAAGGTTATCTTCATTAATCCCAAATGCCAGTTAGAAGCTGAGTTACAGAAGAACGAGGACATTGTTGGACCGGAAGATGTGGACAGCGTCATGCTCTGTTTTCAGGACTCATACCTTACAAGTTTAACTGATGCGATAACACCGTACTGGATAACGGGTGAGATTTCTACAGATCAAGGCATGTTAAAGGTTTATGTTGTTATAGACCATGCTGCCATGGTGTAATGATATCACACTGCAGTCCAGAGGTCGCCGCTCTGATTTCATCTTTTGACGCGGCAGTCGAAACGACGGGGCAGGTTCCTTAAGTACCACCCCTACCCCCGACCTACGTCCACCTGACAGTGTCAATGTGTACACCACAGTTAGACAATCGGTAGGTCACGTGTGGTGGGGCAAAGTGTGGGAACCCCGACCTCATCCAAGGCGGTCTAGTCAGTGTGAAAGAGTAGGCCAATTACCATCTGTGGAAGGACTGTCTAGGAGGAGGCCCTTCCGCCAGCATTGGGCTTCCTGAGAACCGTTTCTAAATGCGATTCCAAATTTTGTACACGTCATCTGAAAAATTCTACATTTGCTTGCTCATGTTCGAAAATAATAATAATAATCAGTAACACTGTCCTCAATGTGCAAATATACATGGAGGGCAATCAATGTGCAGACCTTGCCAAATATGTTTTATTTTATATTTCATTTCACCGATTCTATTACAATGGTGGATCTAGATTTGAAGAAAAAAACCTAAGAATACAATGGTGGTCTTGCCGTCAAGTCATGAGCAGAGAAAATATTCAATTTCAGAACTCCGCAGATGACAGTGCATCACACTGTGTCGGTGAATAGCCCCGGGAAATAACAGCTCGGAACTACTTCCTGAATTCACTTAAAAAGGCCTCCTTATCCACACCAGGGGCACACCATTATAAGCCTTGCCAAGAGTGTACATCACGTGTCAAGCAAACAGACATTTTTAAGCCTCGGAGCAGAATTTCTCCAAATTAAATTATCTTTTTTTTAATGTTTTGCCATTATTGACTGATTTGAGGCCCTCATCTCGCTATACTTTAGAAACTGATTAAATAACGGGTTTTATTTGCGTTCAGCTGAAGGCCAAATGAAACGGATTACTTCTGATCTTATCAGATCTCGGAGACCAAGTAGATGTTGAGCCTGGATAGTGCTTGGCTGGGTGACCGCCATGCACAAAAGGCGGGTGCAGTCGATGTTGTTGTGGGCACGAGCACTCGTCCCTCCGTTACCAACCAGTGCGTGATGAAGTATGATCAAAATATTTAACACAGCCCATAATGGGGGGGCGGGGGGGGGAGGCCCTCATCTAGCAGTGGGTTCACAAAAAAACGAGCCGTGCATGTACATATGCTTTAGAAAGTAATTTTAAGTGACATACAAACTATAGACCTGTGTGTATATATTACAGATAAGTTTTTGATTCACATTCAGATTTTTTAAATTTTAAGGACTGTTTTTGGATTTTCTGTTGTTCTGGATATTTTACATTAACAAATGTGCGGTCGTAACATAGTGGAAGTGACGTAACTTCCTTAAGGGTTTTTTTATGGGTTAAATTGCGTAAATATGTGTCGTTAACCCACCACCACTCGATACAGTCCATTAGTAAGGGTTGTCACGTAAATAAAATATGCCAATTAGTTACTATTTAGGTACACCGTTGTGTTGGAGAGTAAACCCACGACATTTACAATTTGTAAATCATTTCCTGTAACCTCACTCCTTCGGATCAATTCGAAAAAAAAAAACATTTCCAGATCATCTGAAATTAAATATGTAGGCCAGATTTCCGGCAATTTTTTCAGATGAATTAAACATTTTTGGGTATTTCTTTTTTTAATTTTTTACCCCAATGGTTTCTTTTAGGGCACCTTTCGTACCAACAGCTGAAGGAGTGTCAGAGCGCGCTGCGTGGCATAGGCACGTGGGACGTAGTGGAGCTTCAGGGAGGCATGCGTCTGCTCGGGGATTACAACGGCTGTCCCAGCGTGGCCCTGGACCGCAAGGAGACGGAGCTGCTTGAGTTCTCCCACCAGAGGAATGCCACCATGGGCTACGTGTGGGCCATTCTCGGCTACACCCCGCAGGTAACGACGGAAACGCTCGGCACCCAGGCAACCCTGTAGGTTTGAGTCGGTGTTCTCTGTGCTGTGTGGACCCCGTCGTTCCTCAATCGCGTCCCTTTCTTGTCCCCGTCTCATCCCCTTCTCGTCCCCTTCTCACCCCCTCTCGTCCCCTATGTCCCCTCTCTCCTCCGTGCCCCCTTCTCATGTCCGCCCCTCTCGTCCCCTCTCGTCCCCCTTCTCGTCCCCCGTCTTCCCCCTTCTCATGTCCCCCTTCTCATGTCCCCCTTCTCATGTCCCCCTTCTCATGTCCCCCTTCTCGTCCCCTCTCGTCCCCCTCTCGTCCCCCTCTCGTCCCCCTTCTCGTCCCCCTTCTCGTCCCCCTTCTCATGTCCCCTCTCATCCCCCTCTCGTCTAACCCCCAGTGATTGTCAATGCAAGACAGTGTTCTTTCCTTCACCAGGTGAGAGCCCATTGAGCTTTTGAGAAGCCATAGAAACGGGCACATCTCTTGTTATGTCGGTGACCGTAATTACTTGGCGACTGTGTATATATAGCCGCTTGGACTTATTTCGCAGACGAAGATGACGGACGGTGACGTTGTTTGCACGCCGTGTACAAAATCTCCCTGTGTCGCCGTACAGCAATTCGGCCTGGGTCAAGACCGAGGCACGTTTGGTGAAGCTATTCGCTTTCCAACCAAGTCAATTATAAACGATCATCTTCTACTGCAGCGTGCAAAACCCCCTAATTATGAAATTAACTGCACGTGCAGAGATGTCTTTAAACCGTCCTTGCTATGTTATCATATAAACCTGGTCCTCTAATTGCAAATTGTTTAGTCTCATCATCCGTGACAAATCACAAAACGATGATTATTACCTGCAGGCCTTTAAGCGATATCGTCTGCCGGCGGTAGGGAGCAGCAGTGGCTCATTACGAGGCTGTGTAATTGCTTTGTCAGATGGAGAGGTATAATGTATCTCCTTGTTTTAGCGTATGTAAATTTTAATTCATGTTTACATGTGCACGTTCTGAAGTATACATCTCTGCACTCTGGTTCAAAAGTGCACAGTTGCTATCTTTTTTTTTACGTAATAAATAAGTAAAATACTTTACGCCTGCGAGATTGCACCCACCATGCAGGTAACATATCTGCGAATTTGATGTTAGATTGTTAATACTTTAAACAAAAATCTTAACATTTTATTAATTTCAAACCAATTGTGCCTTCTTTTCTGTGTGATCTTAACGATTCAAATGCACGCATGTAAATTGATATTGAATGTATCGGCGCTCTTTAAAAGCTAACGCAATAGTTACATTGGTAAGCCATTGTGGGTGGTCCCCCCCCCCCCCCCGCCTGCACATTGTAGGAAAAAAATGTATTAGCTCCTCTTTGCTACAGCTGTGATGCCCAGACAGATTGCATGGCCAGCTGGCTAGATAGCACTTGGTTCCCATGTGAAAGAGGAGAGTGGCACTTGTGCTTAGAACAGATTTTGGCAATTTTGTGTTTCTTTAGTCCCAGGTCTTTTAGAACCAATGCCTTTTCATTCCCGGTACAGATTAATTAGCGCTTGCCGGGTCCACTCGCACGGGCCTGCTATTTGACTAGCAATTAAATTCTACAGCACTTTTTATCACCAGAAGTAAGTAATGATTGGTTCATTTCCACTTGAGGGGCTCGTTTTATATGCCAAAGACCATTCCGTCTATACACATTCGCCAGGTGCAGACCATTTTTTTTTTGCTTTGAAGAACCACTGAACAACAAAACGATTACTCTAATCTGACAATAATTAAATGTTTCTTAGCTTTGTCCAAAACTGGTAAATGTACACATCAATCATGCCATTAAATATTTCATCAGGATGTCAGCGGAGGCAAGGCGACAACACGGTGTGTTATTTTTCAAGTCCCCAGTGTTTTAAGAAGAAGAATTTTAATTAGCCGTGACAGAGCTTGTTGGGTTTGTTTTGTCTAAGGCTTGGATACGTGATGTTGTTTTGTTACATAGCGAGGATTTTATTCGGTGCTTTAGATTTCATTCCACATTTATCAATCTTACGGTAAACTCATGTCGACACATTAGCATACAACGTACGCAATACTTGTTTCCCCATTATATTTATTGTTAACTACAGTACTATTTATTGGTAACTTATGATAATTATAATGTCCAGCCATATGTCAATCCACTGCCAGATGAAGGCCTCCCCGTGCTATGTCGGCCACAGGAGTTGTTTGACTATACTTCACCACGCTGGTCGCTATGGGTTGGTGATGGGTCGGTGGAGGGGGGGGGGGAGCAGGGGTAGGGCCACAATTGGGTCGGATATCACTCGCCACTGATGTTAGCCCTGGCTGAGAATCACACTCAGGTCACCGGGTTCAGAGTGTAGCGCACTCACCACAATGCCACCAATTCCAGATATTTGCAATTACAATGCACATTACCATTCTTTACCGTGATCAGTCCGTTGTGTTTGTAATGCTTTAATTGCAAAAGAGTTCAGCGTAAATTGGTCACACGCAATATCACACACGTCATTTATTGTCCACACCGTGTGTTACCAGTTGACTCTTTATTTCCGTGCAGGAAAATGTGAGACGTTTTGATGTTCATGTTAATTCATGATTACGTTTCAACTTATAAAATATATCATTACTGTAATTAACAAAAGGGAAGTGAACATGGCACAGATGTAATAATTACATTTAATCAACTGTGTGAATTATGTATTTAATTCGTTTATGTTCCGATTAGCATGATTGGCTACGTACGGTGCGAAAGAAGTTCAACATTCATACATAACGCTGTGTTACTTTAGTATAACTAATTGTTAATTTTGATTCATGTTGTTTTTTCTGACTTTATGTAAACGAAAAGACACAAATTCGCCCGTTTTCTCATTGATAATAGGTACATTTCAAAATATCACTGTCCTGGTCACAAAAGCAAAGTTTGTGGGGAATAAGAGCCATTTGCTATACTTTTTAGGCATGAACAATTACGAAATAACACTTACTACCCAGGAACAAAAATTGTGTTACATAGTGTAACCACATGTTCCTCTTTCCGTTTTTCAGTCTAAATCTGCGATTTTACATATTCCCTCTGTTTTGTAAACATAATAAATATATCTTCTTGGTTCTTTCGGTAAAGTCACGTAGAATGGGAGTCTGAATTCAGACTCTGTCTCCTCGACAGACCTGTTCTCCACCTGAGGACGGCTGCTTGCATTGTGGCCGAAACGTCGTGAGAATTATTTTATAATGTTTTATTTTATTATGTTATTATTTCCATTCTACGTGACTTTACCGAAAGAACCAAGAAGATGAATCCCTGCAGTCACGAAAGCTTTAAATCGATAAATAATAAATATATGTTCACACACTGAGGGCCTCTTAAGAGTAGGGAATAATGGGTAGATTTCTACAGGCCCAACAGTCAGCTGATATGCTGGTGTGGTTAAAGTGTGAAGGACGACATTCCATGAAAAGCGGCTTTTGGCTAGCCAACTTACATACACGGATAGTCACAGGCAGGAGAGGAGAGTCTTGAGCCTGGGTGAGAACCAGCTGGAGGGTTATCCTAGAAGTGCAGACAGCCACAAGAAGGGATTTCCTGACAATGCGAGCAGCAGCAGCAGCAGAGATGCAGCGAGTATGCATCGAGCAAAGGTCGGCTGAGAGTTATGACCGAAGGCCTTGTTTGCTGGAGCGCAAAGCAAGTGCCTTCAGGGAAGACTTAGTGTTCATGTACGTTGCCAATTTGAACAATTATGATATGCTCAAGGGCACATTTGGCCAGGATGCTTGTGTTTCGACCAATCTTTTACCTCATTGCTCACAGCGACTGGCATAGGCGTGGTGATACCACATTCGTCATAATAGATGCAGTCCGCATTAGAAGCAGAGTGATGAATTAAGAACTAACGTGCATTGTCAGTTGCATTCTCGAATGTAAAAGAAGTCCAAACGTGCTAAGTATAGCAACATTATATTTATATCATGATGTCATATTACTAAGTGCTAGAGTTTGACTGGGTCACCAGTCACATTCTTATTTTCCATATTAACCGGTCTGGAGTTTGGCAATTGCACACTTAGCCCAACCGTAAATCTCAATTTCAATCGGATGTTAAAATGAATTGAGTTGTGCTTAGTGTGAGGTAGTCAATTTAAGGGCCAACCTACCAAAACATGACTGAGTTGCTTGGTGGTGAATGGAGGCCTTCAACCAGCAGTGGATTGACCATGGTCATGGCTAATGGTGACCTGGAGGTCCCTTTCAATCCTGCCAACCACAACACTCACTCCAAATATGTACGCAATGGCAATCACCACGTGTAATGTAGGCAAACCAGTTTCCGGGTTTGTGTTTTGATCTGGGAATACCCTCTAGTTAATGACACACTTTTAATTTCAAGTAAGTTTTTAATTAATCCACTTCTGGATGAAGACCTCTCCCGACGTCGTTTTGAGCATGGAGGTTATTTGACCATTTATCAGTGCGAAATGGTGCTGATGATATCCACAGTCGGCTCTTCTACAACATGATTCACTGCTAAGCTGTAGACACTGCCGGATGGAAATGTTGTTATCTCCTGACACGAAACAGAAAACACGGTTGTAATATAGTTAGAGGAATATAGTTCGAGTAAAATAAGCAACACGCTTTTTGAAGGCAATATTTAAAGTCACCATATCGTTTATATTGCCATTTTAACTGGACGATGCTACTTAAAAAAGTATTTTTTTTAGAGGCAAAAAATATTTAACTCACATGATACACAGATTTAGGGAATTGCTGGAAAAGTTGCCGAGCACCAAAATATCTCCTTTGATTAAATGTGGTTGGTTTACAGCGTTTTATAAAACATTTTTTATTATTATTTCCCTTCTACGTGACTTTACTGAAAGAACCAAGAATATAAATCCCTGCAGTCACGAAAGCTTAAAATCAAAAATTTCCAGCGCTTTGTTAATCCACTACTGGATGAAGGCTTCTAAACGGT